GGCGTCCGCCGTTCGAGCTGGCGCTGGTACCAGTCCCGGATAGGGTCTTCTTAGTCTTTGATTCTTTAGAATTGTCCTCCTTGATCGGCTGCGCCGTCGCAGCCTTATGATGAAAGTCGTACAGCACTAAGTAATGCAACCTCGACGATATGTACCTATCACCCGCTACCTTCATTATATCTAGAGTATCACTGGCAGCACTATTTACACTGTTCATCGCGCGAACCAACGACGACGAGCTCGCCAGATCGCTCGAGGCGGCCCACACGTTCTCTAAGGTTCTCAACTGCGAGGGATTGTTAACTGTCACTGTAACCCCGCACACTAAGCACGGCCGAATCTTATGCTCCGCCGTCTCGATGTTTATGGACGACGAGGTCGTGGAGGAGTTTGTGCCTTTCGCTTCCTCCCGCTGGGTTACCGGAGATCCCACCACCGAGAGCGCCGTAACGTGCACTTTGTAGAACGACGAGGGCTTGTATTCCGAAAGCGGATCAGAGTCCGAGCCTAGATTCGTTAAATACGGGGGCGTCAAATTTCTCGCGGCACAAAACTGTATCGATTCCTTATTGTTTATTTCTTGATCCAAGGGCGAGATATAAAATGATACTTCTCTCTGCAAAATAACGGTACGCATTACATTACTTTAATGAAAATAAAAAAAGACATACATAGGATAGGAATACCAAGATTAGCTTTTCAAATAAATTACTCGTGAATTTCACACTGATAATGCAAAATCTCGGAATAACTTACCTTCAATTGATTCGTTATGTTCCAAATATTTACAAAACCATTGGAAGAGGCTGTAGCCGCGAGGCCTGTGACATTAGTAGTACCTATGACGTCCACCGTATCGCCCGTCTCGCGAGCGGGAGCCGTTGCGAGGGTGACGGATAATGGAACATTCTGCGTATATTCACCCTTGACGAACGGACACGCGGGCGAATGCCTCTCATGCTCCGACCATGGCTCGTCAGTGGGTTCCCAACACACTAGGCATACGTTACAAGTGAAACACATCGCTCTGTCGTCACCAGTAGCATTTGGCTCGTGGTAGAAACCAGCCTGTGCCATTTGGTCGGGTAAAGCCCATCTGAAATAATATAATAAATATAATATATGTTTCTTTACACTTTTGTATGTCTGATAGGTCAGTAATTGCATTCATTTCGCCTTAAATCTTACATAAATGTAGAATATAAAAAAAAGTTGTGAAATAAAAAACGACGTCACTATCTCGACAAGAAATTGTTTCACTCGCCAACGATGCGACACGTTACATACTTGTAATTCATATGTGGCCATTTTGGAAAAGTATTACGACGTGCTGCTTCGCTAAACATTAACGCTCTATCAGTGGGACCACCTTCTAACGCAAGACTAGGCAGTAGGCCATTTAGTCGTTCATTGATCGCGGAGGCAATGGGCAGTGCTGCTATATGCCGATTTTGCCTTTTTAATTCCATCACTAAGCCGGAGCAAACGAGCTTTAAAGATCCATGCGGTAATTCCAGGCATATCGTATTCCACTGCAATTAAAATTTGCAATTATTTTCGTATGCAGAGTTCTAGCACTGATGAGTTCTAGCACACTTGTATTAACTCTATGTACATAATATGAAAATTTTGTATATATTTAATAAATTGCTTTGACCATTGTGTAACAGAAAGTACGAAACAAGATATATTTCAACTATTTCTCGTAATCGTAGTGTCTATCATAAACTTAAATTTTTCATTACATTAAAGATTTCTGTATAAACAGGTCTTTAATTAAATCTCTCTTAAAGTAAAATTTGTTCAAAATTGAATAAGAAATACAATTGTTTATATTTACAGATTAAATTAAAAATATATTAACTTTAAATTCCTAATAAACACACTAAATTAAAAATGTACTTTAGCTTTATAAAATAATATTCACTTATTTTTAAATTCTCACGTTAAACATCTACAATTTAAAATAATTACAAAAGTTTTGAAATACATCCAACATTATGTAAAATAATCAGTTTTATAAACGGTACATGCACTTACTTTTTGAGCTTTAATACCCTTCTTCTGATTTGCTTGTGCCGTAACGATTTTACTCGAAAGTTCTTGCAGCACCTCTAGCAAATGTTCCACACCCGGCAATTCTACACATTGTAGGCATTGAAGCAATATCGTCGCCTCCGACAGCAGCAGTTCCAGCTTTACGATATCCTCGCTTTTAGAAACCGGGGTTTGCAAAATTGTATCCAACAACAGGACCCCATTGTAATCGCTACGTATGCCAATCCCTCGTCCGTCCGTATACAACACTTTGTCTATTCCATCCGATAAATATGTCCCTTGCAACTTCCCATTTGGTTTACCTACAGCAATTGCAATTATGAGTATAAACATTTTATAATTTTTCAATGATAATACATATTACAATAATTTGCAAATTAATCTACCTATCTTATTAAAAATTTGTGAATATTATAAAAATGTGAATTAATTACTTTTATTTTAATCACTGCATAAAACACTAATATTAAACATTTAAATATCTTTCTATTACCATCATATAATCTTATAAAATTGTTTGGATATCGATATAATTAAATAATACATATTTTATATAACACTTAATACTTTAGTATGTATTTTTAAAATATCTTTTGTCTTTTCTTTCTTGGAAAAATTATGCAAAGATCTTACAAATGGCTTGATTTTAAGAAATATAAGCCATAATTTTATTTTTTAAATGCCTCATGAAGTTTAAAGTTATTCTTTATAATGTTTATCTCTTAAATTTATACTAAAGAATGCTTCCTTGCTGTTGCCATGTGAGAATAAAGAAGCCGCTCGTAAAAAAAATTTAATCTCTGACACTGGTTGAATAGACGGAATTATATCTCTTAAAGAACAATAACAAAAACCGTTATTGGAATACTGCACAATGCCGCTACAGTCGTAGATCGCAGTTTCTTTAAAAACCGCATTACTCTCCTCGTAATATAAAACGCAAATTCATATTCACGTCACGTGACAAAGGGACGAGGGAAATCGCGGAAAGGCGTGAAAAGCGCGTAAGCCAGACTGGAGCGGAAGACTCTAGAAATCGTCTCCCTCGAGCCTCTGGATGCTGGGCGAGGAGACGAAGCTCCGCTTCGGCGGGGCACTTCGGTGCCAGACAATCTCGACGAGGCTTAGTGTGTCGTCGCGCGTGTCCGATCTCCGTGCACCGCACTCCGGGGAAAACCCGTGCGGGAGCGACCTTGACTCGCGAGACGATTATTGCACAGTATTCTGCAAACGTCGGGCGGACGGCCACGCGCCGACGAGGGACGACGGCGACGACGGGGACGGCGCCGCGACGACGACGACGACGACGGGGGCGGACGACCGCGGCGCCGTTCTTTTCCCCGGCCGCCGACGACCCGGCGAGGCTTCCCCCCCCATCCCCCCGTCCCCGCCAGGGGAAAGGGGAGGATCGCGACGGCGGAGATGTGCCGCGCGACACACCGCACACGCTCACCCGACAGGGAACTCCTCTGCAGGATCACGCCGGAGTTGACATCGAACACGTATACTTGTGCGCTGCCAGTGGTGATGAGCAGTACGTTTAGATTGGCGTGATAGATTATGCTCTTGCACTCGGTGTCCACGTTCAGGCAGCCGTCTTCCTTCAGCAGCCACGGGTCATCATCAGCCATTTTGCTCACGCGGATCACGCTTTTCTGAAAAAGTTTTCCTTCCTAACGCTCGGACATCACGAGAAACATGGCGCACTCGTCAACGCCATCTTTGAGTTGGAACGTCAGCAGACCGCTCTGAACGCAGCCGACTATCGTGTCCCTCCCTCCCTGACCCCTCCGCCCCCCTGCCGCACCAGGCACCCCTCGCGCGACTCCCATCCGCCGCGCCGCCGTTGATCGATCGATCAATCCGTCCGCTCGTAATCGAGCTTCGATTCCCGGGACGAATCACGCCGAATCCTTAATTTATGCCTGTCGCACACCCGACGCGCCGCGTCCTCGCGGGAATCCAATTTAATACTGGAAATTACTTAGTTTGAGTATTAAAGGCACTGTTGTGCGGAAAATATTTAAAAATTCGAGCGCAAAGAATCGCGGTTAGTTTCTGACGAAACTTTCAAACAAGTTTCTGATTCACACTCGGCGACCTTTCTGATGCAACATTACACACATATATACACTCCTCGACGCGACAATTATCGATTATCGCGTAGCTGCGTGAAAAAAAAAAGAATAGATTTCATTGGAAAAAAAATGTATCGACCGCGCACGATTTATTGCAATTATTTTACTCCGAGTATCTTATTTCAAATAAAAAATAATATAATTCGAATTAATTTCTAATAATTTAATAATTCGTTGTTTCTAATCTAATCTCTCTTCGATCGTCAGACAGCGCAATTCGATTCTTAATGATTTTCGCGAGTCAAAATATCGTATATATTCCAGGAAACGGCAATTCGTGGAAAAATGTTTTGACATTTCCTGGAAAGGCGCGCGCGCGTTGTGAACTCGCCATAACTCGCGAGTGACTCGCGTCGCGTCGCGTCGCCGCCGTTTCGCGGAAGGAACGCCCCTCTACGTAACTCCGTGCCCCGCGGCCGCGTATCAGCTGTTCGATGACAGTTTGCCAACCGTAGAAGTCGCCAGGCGCTGCGCGAAAATTAGTGAGCGGGGGTTTGTTGTTGTGGGATGTGTGACAGCAATATGGCTATCTGGTGATTAACAATCGCGAGCGGACGGACACAAAGGAGCAGCGCCCCAGAGGTTCATATGATAATAGACCGCGCTCTGCTCCGCGGCGCGCCGATTGTGTCACCCGTCGCTACGTGCGTGCAGGCAGCCAGAAGCCCCGAGAGGACACACGGGACGCCAGGATGCTGGAGCTCGAGGTGGTGCCCGAGAGGTCCCTCGGATGCGAGCAGTGGGAATTTATTTTGGGCAAGTGACGAAACGCAAGCGCAAACGCAAACGCAAACGACGGCGCGCGGGGGGGTCGTCACTCACGACGACACGAGCGTGCGTTGTTGTGATTTGCAGATCGCGATAGTCGGAGGCGCGTTCGCGGAGCACGCCACGCTGGCGTTCGACTGTGCCATCCCGTCCCTTGCCCATCGTTCGTCGAATGGAACGATAAAACGAGGACGGAGTGACGCAACAGACGCTCCTCGAACGCGCTCCTCGAGGTCTCAACGCCCCCGTCGAGCTTCACGATCGAATCGGAGTCGTGCGAAAGCGACGCGACTGATTCGTTAGCCCGTCGACTTTGTCTCGCACGGCGTCCTTGTTTCCTTTTGCGTCGCTATTATCTGTTATCTAACAGATCGAGCGACGTGAACGCTTCGACGAGCGAAAATGAATACAAAGCGTTCCTTTTTTTCTATTATAATACACATGATTATATAGCGACCTTATTAATTAATAAATAAATAAATGTAATTGCGACAAATGTGTATAAAAATAAACAGAAATGTTTAAGTCAAGGTCTAAAGCTAAGGTCAATCCTGATGGAAAAGCACAGGCATTTTATTCTACTTCTGAAAAGCAATTGTATGTAAATTATCTTACTAATTGATGGTCTGTGTCTTAATTAAACATTTTTATCTATTTTGGGGGGGGGGGGGAATATTTTACATATCTTTTACCATTTTTTAATTTCTAAGTATATTCCTCTCTTGTGTAGTCCTGAACAAACTTTTTTAAATGCAATCATTATAATTAATTTATTTCAAGGGCCGAATATTAAGCTTGCTTTATTGCAGGTATGCACTTTTCTCAGTCAGTATCGATAATACAGTCTCAAGTCGGTGTTATAAGAGGAGTGCAAGTACTTTATAGCGACACTGTAAGTATCCTTAACGCCTGTGTTGGCATGAGATTTGTATATGTACACACACACATACACACATACATAAACATGCGCGCTCACATAAACAGACTATTTTTTTAAATGTATATAAACAAGTGACACTTACATGCATCGTGATCGTACATCAAATTTTAATAGCGATAATAATCAGATAATACATGAAGGCATTGTGCACGTTCGCAGAATCCGTTAGACGTAGATCTAGTAATAAATTTACCTCACGACGGCATACGGCTTATATTCGATCCTGTTGTACAAAGGCTTAAGATAATTGAGATTTATAACATGAAGTTAGTGAAATTGAAATATTGCGGCTTGCCATTCAATTCGCCGGAAGTCTTACCCTCAATCGAGCAGATAGAGCATTCGTTCGGCGCAACTCACCCTGGTGTTTATGATAGCGAAAAGCAGGTAATGCAGTTATCCATAAAATTTATTCGTAGATCAGCATGTTGGACTTACAATATATATGTATACATCTTTAAATATCATAGAAAATTTACTGTTCAAAATAATTGTCTAAAACTATTAAAATTTATGGGACACAAGCGCGATATGTGATAGTGCCGTAACGATAAATTGCAGGTGTTTGTATTGAATTTTCGAGGACTGTCGTTTTACTTTCCAATCGATTCCAAATTTCAACCTGGCTATGCCCACGGACTAGGCTCGTTACAGTTTCCAAACGGAACCTCCCCTCTGGTCTCAAAAACGGCGATTTACGTTGGAAATATGCCAGCCGGTGGTAGCAGCGAAGAACACGGTTCCAAGACACCGCCGCCACCCTTGCCACTTGTAACTACATTTTCAGACTTCGGCTGTTTTGCCATTATCTAGAAGAATAAGCTAAAATGTTGAGTGTATCTTTGACACCCGTCTTTGAATAGGTCTGTTACCATAATAACTTGTACTTGGAGAAAGCTGATATCATTCGAGACAAGGCACGTACTCGAGGACTCAGATTACATCTTTTCACGGAGGGTAGTTCCGGAACGAGAGCATTGCTGGAGCCAAAGAAGCGATGTCTGACCAAAGAGGTTGCGCTTTATTATTATATATCTTGTTACCAAGAAAAATAGCATCCAAATATTTTAAGTGGAGATCTTAAATATATGACTCGTAACTGCTTTAAAAAATCTGCGTTTAATAAATTTACTCATCGGATATGAAACATTCGATATTTGCGAAAAAAATTTGCTTTGACTTGTGTAGGACAGGAAAACAATTTATGCTTCTTCATTTCCGACATTACAATCTAATACGATTTCAGGTATTGTTCGGCGATACTTGCGAGGATGTTTTGAGCGCGCTTGGTGCCCCGTCTAGAGTGTTCTACAAAGCCGAGGATAAGATGCGCATCCACAGTCCACATGCGCACAAACGGGACAAAACAAGGCGCTCAGACTTCTTCTATAATTATTTCACTTTAGGTTTGGTAAGTGCGTTCCTTCATCTGGCGAGATGGCACGAGCCTACTTTTAAACAGTCGAATTGGAATACTAAAAATCAACGCCAAATTATAAATTCTTTGCCTTTTTCTCTTCAAACTATGCTGTAGAAAAAAATTATGGATTATATATTTTATATAGTTATTTTATATAGTTGATTGCCAGTTTTAATTTAACATTTAAATGACAGATCCAGCTATAGATAGTTAGCGGACAGATCAGATAATGCTTCGCGTAAAATTGTAGACCATGTGTCATCCTTGAATACATTCTTTTTTTGTCTTTAATGTAATTTTCTATATTTCAACGTGTGATTCTTTGCAGGATATCCTGTTCAACGCTAAGACCCAATGTATAAAGAAGTTCGTACTTCACACGAATTATCCGGGACATTATAACTTCAACATGTACCACCGCTGTGAATTTTCTCTGACTCTGCCCCCTGAAAATAATTCCACGGAATCGGGAAAGTTGATCGACGTTTCCCCTTCTCCTGTCACAGTAGGATCTTTTAACAGTTCTTCGTACACGCGCGACACTCGATGCATTTTACCCGCTGACCGATGAACTAATGTGAATATCAATTTTTGTCCCGTAGATCACTGCCTATACGAAATGGGATAGAGTGAGCGAGCAATTGAAGGCAAGCGTGCGACCCGTAGTTTTGAATCGTGCGTCTTCAACGAACACCACCAACCCATTCGGCTGTACGTTTTGTTACGGCATACGAGACGCGATTGTCGAAGTTATGGCGAATCAACATATCGCAAGTGTAACTCTGTATAGAACCGCGTGACGTCGATAATTCGGCACGATGCGAGGCATTACGTAGCGTGATTCATGACGAACAGTTGTGGGATGAGAAATTAGCCGTTTAGCTAACTTTCGGAGGTCTCAAGTTCAATTCGCCGGTTGAAAGACGAGATGTGACGTGAACGAGGCGTAGAGCGCTCTATCGGGAAGCTTTGTTTTTTTTTTCTTAATATGTAACCAATTATTTTAGACTACAAGAATGATAAGTAAGTGTTACGTAAAGTGTGAATATTAAGACGACTAAGACAATGACCGTATAAGATAAACATATAAAAAATTCAAAAAAATATATGGAAAGTAAAAAAAAATATATCACTTTGACAGTTCGTGCGATTACGTACGCGTCAAACGTTACAGTTTCTCTTCAAGCCTTGTCTCGCAGCTATGGATACTTGGATCAATTTAAAGTCGATATTATCTTAACAAGAGTTTTCGGTAGTTACCTTCTCTCTCTCTCTCTCTCTCTCTCTTAATTTTTTTTTTAATAACGTCTTAATTTTTCACATTAATCTTTACGCAACGTTAGAATTAGCTGGCAGACGTACAGCTATCGCTGTAACGCAACAAAACGCTGCTCTATTCTTAAGAATACTATCCTTTTTCTACATGTAGCGATAAAAGGTATAATTTTACCGTATTTACATAAGTTAACATATCTGTACAAATAATCGTATGTAAGTTCGATTAATTCTAAGGAATACGCGGAGAAAAAAAAATTTATGATATTAAAAACTTCAGTAGTAAGCTCTTTGAAGATAATTTTCGACGAGACATTATAGTGGGACCTCCGTAATAAACGTGCATACAGCGAAAACCACTATAGTGAATCGCTGGTAAGGAAGATTAAATATATCTAAGCGTAAAAATTAAAATTCTTATAATTATATAAAGATAAAACGTTCATTTAGCTTTAAAACTCGAACAATAATCGAGATTTTTCATTTATACACCTCGATGTCTTCTTATTTTTGTTAAGAAAACATTGACTCTGTATCATTCAAAGAATCTGTAGCTGGAAGAAAGGCGACATTACTTCGAGACACGTTAAACTTTGTCTTATGATTTGTCTTATGATTAAGAAACTGATATATAATGTCGATATATATTATTATATTATTAAAAGATATGAGGACACTAGCAATTTCGTCTAATAGTGATATTTAATTACTTTTATTTGGGACGCCACAGCGGCACGTCTCCTAATTTAATTCTCTCATCTTTTGTCATAATTATACAATTATAACAATTAATAAGGCAAACAATTATAATGGAAATTATTAGTATCCGCAAAAAGTATTTTAACTCGATAATTATGAAGAAAAAAAAATGATGGGAAATACCATATAAATTTTTATAGGGGCGATATAATCTTTATAATCAATTATAAGGATTGTTATTAATAATCTTGACATATAATATTATCCTTAGATGAGATAAGAAAGTCGACTCTCAATTTTCGTATAAATGACAAATTTTTTTAATGTGGGTGTGAAAAAAAATGTGTGAAATTGGCGGAGAAAACCAAAATTACGTATATCATGGTTATATCGTGTTCTCTTTCATTATAAGATTGCAGATTTCTCACCCAGCACAAAAATGTCATCTGAGTGACGAGAAAATTAGAAATTATAACATTGTGTAACATAAATAAAAGTATTTGTTGTATCTACGCGCGTTAATTAATTTTCTCCTATAATTTTTATTTTATTATTTCATATTCATATTTTTTTTCATTTTTATATTATATGCATACGTTATAAAATTAAAATATTATAATTTTTATTACATTTAAATCTTTAGCTGAAATGTGCACAATTTAGTCAACATAATTTGCATTCAGCGTTTACGTTATGTGATCGCGCAAACTTATCATCTACCGCTCCACTTAAAGTTAATATCATTTTTAGAATTGTACAGAGTTTAAAAGCTCCTGGATCACAGGTCAAGTGTTTGAACTGTGGAGACTTTTTAAATATACTTATATTCTTTACAGATCTTCCTCTTCTATCAATCCATACTCCTCGTACAAATCATAAACAAGCCCTCGGTGATTTAGGATTATCTTAATAAGCTCCTCCCTCGTCTTTGTGAGTAGCAACCTTTCAACGCGATTTTGCTCGTCAATGCGGTCGTGGCAGAATGCAGACGCTTCATATCCCCATTGATTAGATGCAATTAAAGCAAAGCCTGTTGCAGCCATGTGCTTACATGGGCCCCAATTTCTGAATGCCGGACAGGAACATTCTCCACCAAGAGAAATGCCATTGTGCCTTAGTGTTACTTCATATATTTCTTTGCCAACAGTTTTTGATTTAACCTCAGAATCGCTAACAGAAATAATCTTCACCAATCCCTGATTAAAGTAAACTTCTCCTCTGGAGAGATAAGGCTCACGGACAAGACGCTCGATATCTACACGTCTTATTCTCATTGGAGGCTCTCCTAAAAGTTTATTTTATTATTGTAAAATTTAACCTACTACAATTTTAATATGCGGTTACTTTTTTGTAAATAGTTTGTGTAATAGATTACCTGCATCTGATTCCGCCTCGGATTCTGCCATCTCTCACTTCACACGTAATTCTTGGGATTTCGAAAATTTACTTTCAGTAAATTGCTTTTATTTCTTATATCTTCCAGTTTTTCAAAATCTCTGGATGGCTACCTAGACAAATAATTATTGAAATGAGCTCTTTCAACCTATAGCTTGTTTATTAACACGTGTATATTGTATATAGTTCTATAGTTCTATTGTATTTTAATGCAAATTAGTTTTCAAAATTTTTCTCGAAAACAACGTTTTGAAATGTAGTCTTAATTATATACTATACTGTATAATTTCATTATTTAAAGAGAGAAATCTGAGAGAATATAACCCACCTGGCTCTCTGCGATCGTCACCGGCTGACTCGCTCGAGACAGACGTACGAAAGAGGAATTATGTAGGAAAGTTATTTCCCTATAAAATTAAAATATTATAATTTTATTATTAGATTAAATTTAAACCATCTACGTACACATCGAAGTGCGTCGAGCAAATATATCAAAGCAAATAATATTTACTTCGCTGAACTGTAGCGAGCTCGCCACGACTCACACGACTACACGAGAACGATTTCAAACAATTGAAACACTTCAGCAAGGCTAATTAGCACATGCGCAGCATAACGAAACTCGAGAAAAATAGAATCGAGATCTTCGGAATCATTTCATCCTTGTCGTTTGTCAAATGTTAAAATAAGACAAATAATAGCGAGCGTCGAACTGCGCATGTGTGAGCGTCCTAACGTTATCAGCCTTGCTTCGTATCGTTCTCGTGATAAGCATAATGTAAATAAAAGTATTTGTTGTGTCTACGTATGTTCAGTAATTTTCTCCCACAATTATTTTATTATCTCATATATAATCCTTTTTATTACATGCATGTTGTAAAATTAAAATATAATTTTTTATTTTATATCGTATAATTTTTCTTATATTTAAATCTGTGACTGTGAAAGGTACATACTATATAATCAACATAACATTTACATTCAGGATTATCTGCAAACTTATCATCTACTGTTTCGTTAAAAATTTTTTTTTAGTATTATATAGAATTTAGTTTAAAAACTTATGGATGACAGGTCAAGTTCTGGGATTGTAGAGAGTATTAAATTTAATCATCTTCCTCATCTTCCTCATCTTCCTCGTCTTCCTCGTCTGACTCATATGCACAATATTCCTCATCTTTATTATATCGATGTATTAATCCAAAATCTTCCCACAACGATTCAACAGTCTCTGAATTATTTAAAATCATATCAATAAGCTCCTCCTTTGACTTTTTGTATAGCGACTTTTCAAAACTTTTTTGCTCTATATGGTAGAGGGTGTTTTCTGACGAATCGTATCCCGATTGATTATCTTGAATTACAGCCAAGCCCGTTGCAACCATGTGCACACAATTTTTGGTTGCACAAGAACACTTTCCATAAGGAGTAGAACCGTCATTTTTTAGTGTTACTTCATAGATTTCTCCGTCAACAACAACTTTAGATTTAACGACAAAATAGTTTACAGATATAAGGCACACCATTCCGTGATTGAAGTAATATTTTCCTTCATCGAAAACAGGCTCAGAGACAAGATTCTTGATATCTTGGCGACTTAATTTCATCTTAGCCTTTCCTAAAAGTTTAAATTATTTATAATTACTGCAAAATCTAAGCCACTACAATTTTAATATGACGTTTCTTTTCTGTTTGACAGTTTGTGTAATATTACCTGATTTGGATAAGTCCGGTGATTTCAGTGATTCCGCCATCTCTTTCAAACACTTCGCACGTAATTCTTAGATTTTGAAAATTTAATTTGTGTAAATTGCCTATATTCCTTGTCTTCCAGGTTTTGCAAAAATCTCTGGATGTTGGTTACCTAGACGAACAATTATTGAAATGAGCTCTTTGGTCGTTTCTTCAAGGAACAGTCTTTTAAGCCTAGCTTGTTTATTATAATGCATATGCTGTATGTAGTTTTATAGTTCTACATTCTATTACAGTTTAATGCAAACTGGTTTTCAAATTTTTTCTCCAAAGTTTTAAAATGTAGCCTTAATTATATATTATCACTGTCTTAATTATTATTATACTGTATTATAATTTCATTATTTAAACCAGAGAGAAATCTGAGAGAGAACATAACCCACCTGGCTCTCGTACGTGATCGTCGCCGGTTGACTCGCTCGAGACAGACGTACGAAAAAGAATTACGTGGGAACAAGTTATTTTTCTGTAAAAATACCGTTAAATTTAAGTACGTACACATCGAAGTGCGTAGAGCAGGTATATCGAAGCAAATAATACTTTACTTACCTCGCTGAATTGGCGAGCTCGCCACGAGAACGATTTCAAACAATTGAAACACTTCAGCAAGGCTACTTAGCACATGCGCAGCCCAATGAAATTCGAGAGAAAAATGGAATCGAGATCTTGGAATCATTTTATCCTTGTCGTTTGTCAAATGTTAAAACAAGACAAATAATGGTCGCGAGCATCAAACTGCGCATGTGTGGGCGTTCTAACGTTGTCTTCTTCGTATCGTTCTGGCGACAGGCATAACGTAAATAAAAGTATTTGTGTATCTACGTGCGTTCATTAATTTTCTCCCATAATTATTTTATTATCTCATACATAATCCTTTTTATTACATGCATGCTGTAAATTAAAATATAACTTTCATATTTTATTTATATCATATACTTTTTCTTACATTTAAATCTGTGGCTGAAAGGGGTACACACTATAATCTATATAATCAACATAATTTACATTCAGGATTATGCGATCGCTGCAAAAACTTATCTGCTATTTCATTTAAAACCCATCATTTTTAGCTGAATTGTACAGTTCAGTTTAAAAGATTCTCACCGGTCAAATATTGCGCGATTGTACAGATTAAAGAAATCTCCCATATCTCTTGTACTCTCTACGCAATTCAGCAAACATCCCTTTATTATTTACCATCATCTCGATAAGCTGCCGCTTTGTCTTTCCGAGTAGTAACTTTTTAAAGCAATTTTTCTGGTTAATGCGGGCGCGGCGACGTTCGGACGGTATGTATCCCCATTGATCAGATTTGACTAAAGCGAGGCCTGTTGCAGCCATGTGCTTACACGGGCCATGACTTTTGAATGTCGGACAAGAACATTCTCCATCAAGAGAATTGCCATCATGCCTTAGTATTACTTGATATCTTTTAGTGCCGAAAACTTCTGCATCAACCTCAAAATCGCCAACAGATCCAATTTCCACCATTCCATTATTAAAATAATCTTCTCCTCTGGAAAAATAAGGCTCCTCAACAAGAGCCTCGATATCCTTACGACACAATTTCACCTTAGAGTCCTCTAAAAATTTGAATTACCTTATTACTGCAAAATCTAAGCTACTACAATTTTAATATGGCGTTAATTTTCTGTTTGACAGTTTGTGTAATATTACCTGATTCGGACGAGTCCGGTGATTCCGGTGATTGCAATTCCGCCATCTCTTTCAAACACCTCGCACGTAATTCTTGGATTTTGAAAATTTACTTTGAGTAAATTGCTTATATTCCTTGTCTTTTAGGTTTTACAAAAATCTCTGGATGTTGAGTACCTAGATGAACAATTATTGAGCTCTTTGGTCGTTTCTTCAAGTAGCACTCTTTTAAGCCTAGCTTGTTCATTAACACATATATTGTATATAGTTTTATAGTTGTATATTCTATTACAGTTTAATACAAACTGGTTTTCAAAAGCCTAGCTTGTTTATCAATACATATATTGTATGTAGGTTTATAGTTCTACAGTTTAACGCAAACTGGTTTTCAAAATTTTCTCCCAAAGCTTCGAAATGTAGACTTAATTATATATTATCACTGCTTTAATTATATGCTATACTATATCATAATTTAATTATTTCAACCAGAGAGAAATCTGAGAGATAACATAACCCACCTGGCTCTCGTGTGTGACTCGCCGGTTGACTCGCTCGAGACGTACGAAAAAGAATTACGTGGCAAAAAGTTATTTCCCTGTAAAATTACGATTAAATTTAAGCCATGTACGTACACATCGAAGTGCGTCAAGTATATCAAAGGATATAAAATTTACTTACTTCTCAGAAATGACGAGCTCGCCACGAAAACGATTTCAAACAATTGAAACACTTCAACAAGGCTAGTATGGCTACTTGGCACATGCGCAGCGCGACGAAACTCATCGAGAGAATCATGGAATCATCGAGGGAACATCGAGATCTTGGGATGGAAACATTTTATCCTTGTTGTCTGTCAAACGTTAAACAGAGACATTCACAGACAATGTCGCGAGCGTTGAACTGCGCATGCCGCGTGTGCCGCGTGTGCTAACCTTACCAGCCTTGCTTCATCATTCATGTCGTTGATGTCGTTATCGTGGCGATCTTATCAAGACAAGTAAATATTATATACCTTGATATAATTACTGACACACTTCGATGTGTACGTACACGGCTTGAGTTTTATCGCAATTTACAGGAAAATAACTTTTTTCCTCGTAATTCTTCTTCGTACGTCTGTCTCTCGATCGAGTTAACCGGCGAGTCACGTATGAGAGCAGCCGGGTGTGAATCGCGTGGAAATTACTTTTATTTTGGAATAAATCGCTCGAAGGCGAGATGACGAAGAGCGAAGGAAAGGAGGAAGGCACGAGGGTGCGAAACGTCTTCGTTACATCGCTCATCGTGAGTGAAATGCTACGAATAACTTGCGTTTGCAATTGCATCGTTACGTGTCACGTGTAAACATCACGTGTTTTCATTCTTAAACAATGTTTTGAATGACATTATTTTGAATGACATCGACGTAAATATTATTGTCGTTATGAATATGAAAGAAGGGAAAACTTAATAGAGCTGCCGACTCACTTGGCGATTTCCAGTTGTGTATTACATATAAGTGTATCCCATATTACACAACTACATAATTGATTTCTTTTTTTTATGAAATTTTCTGTCTAAGCTTTTTCTTATTTTATACCACAATGAAAACTAATAAAAAGGGAAAAAAAGATAAGAGTACTTTGGTAATAACATTGTAAGTACATACATGTAATGTTTATAGGCAGGAGGTGCTGCTGGGACATTTGTGGACATTACACTGTTTCCGCTGGACACGCTGAAAACCCGACTGCAGAGTTCACAAGGATTTTTAAAAACTGGAGGCTTCTCAGGTCTCTACAGAGGGATCAGTCCAGTTATAGTCGGTTCAGCGCCAACAGGTAATTGATCACAGAATACATTCAGGAAGCATTAAATTTATGATTTAAAATTTACTGTACACGCTCGACAGCATTATTCTCGTTTTTGCAACGCTCTTACGTTAACACATTTCACATTCCAGCTGCGCTATTTTTTCTAACATATGAAGAAATCAAGACCGTCATGCAATCCAGGATTTCTATGGATTATTATACTCCACTTCACATGGGAGCAGCGGCAATGGGAGAAATTGTACTTTAATAATTATTATCTCGTTTGTGAAAGACAAATGAATGGCATGGAAGAAAAAATTTTAGCCGTGTATTAATTGCTATTTTGTATGAAAAGGTAGCGTGTTTGATACGAGTTCCAATGGAAGTTGTGAAGCAAAGGAGACAGGTGCTAATACGTGATAAAAAATTGTTTGATCTCAAATTGTTGTATCGCGGATACTGGAGCACGGTGTTGCGAGACTCGCCGTTTAGCATTGTACAATTTTCACTGTGGGAACACCTCAAAAAATCCTATAGTTTCTATATCGACAGAGAAATACGTCCTGTGGAAAGCGCAATCTGTGGTGCAATTGCAGGTCTTTACTACTCATACTACATTTTCACGCTGCAAATAGAAATAAGAAAATAAGTTATAACTTTGCATAGAGAGATCATTATTCGTATTTATATTAGATCGCATCTACATGTGTTTACGCCGTGTATATTTTAGGAGGCGTCTCCGCGGCTGTTACGACTCCGTTAGATGTTGCAAAAACGAGAATAATGCTGTCGAGTAGGACATTGCTTTCGTCAGAATTAAAGATACTAGATATACTTCGCAGGGTGTATCTGGAAAATGGTTTTCGTGGGTAAGTATCTCCCTTCTTCCGTTTTCCCCTGTGAAATTAGTAGCTCTAAATATTTTATTTATATCGAACAGTCATGTCGTAAAATAAAATTTCACAAAATGTTACAGACTATTTGCTGGTTTTCCCCTGAGAGTAATGTGGATCACATTAGGAGGCTTTATTTTCTTCGGAGTCTACGAAGAAGCGAAAGCACTTACATACACAATATTTCCAATGCTGAAATAAAATTTCGTCAGTCCTCATATGGAAAAGTAATGCACTCGTAATTACTTCCAATAGTTTTTTGCAACATTGTATAAAAATTGTTTATTTCTTGCATTGTACAAAATACTTCTCGTTAATAACAATATATAAATTATTCATATGAATATCATTTGTAAGAAAGTACAAATTTTATATATATACTTTTTTTTTACCTATAAAATCATTACTTCGATCTTGTAAAAAATTAGTCTTATGTGTCGTATAAAATTTCTCTTAATCTCTTTTGTTTCCCAGAGACAATCTTAAACAATTCAACTAAAAATTATAGTGCTAATGTAGCAAATTTTAGTTCATAATATAATTCATTATCATTTACGCGCATTTCTTTCATTTTCTAAAAAAGAAAAAAATGCACATAACAATTTGTATGTAAAACGCATATTTACGCTTGCCTTTTAAAAAAGAAATGATGCACTGTGTATATATATATATATTATTATTATAATACATAAAAATATTCTGCAAGATATGTATTTTCAATCATCTGTATTCACAGTTTGGATCTTAAACTGATCATTAACTTTTCCAATTTCATTACTTTCTGCATATTTCCACTAATATTTAACTTGCCTGTCATAAATGCAGAAGCCGGTTTTAATTTGCCTGTCGACAAAAAAAAACAAGTTCAAAAAGATTATACATCAATAACATTAACACAAGTATATATTAATGCGAAAATAAATTCGAGAGAAAAATTACATTACAAGATTTGCATCTACCTGAAAACATAGCAAAGAAATTTTCTGAATCCATTGTAAGAGTTGCATCTGCTGGCTGACTCGGTTCTCCTTTACCAGTAGCTCCGCTTCCATTTTTCAAATCAAGGAAATACACACCAGATTCCTTCCCTAAAATTTAATATATACATATAAAGGTATTTATTATCTCATCAGTCATCTATTGCGTTATTGTAAACTAAGATTTAAATCAATAGAAACGAAATTACCTTTCACATTGAATTGATATATAGCACCAGTTTTGCTAACCAGTTCGCTACTCAAATTTGCTTTGATAGCATTAAATACACGCGCCAACTGTCCAGTTTCTTCAGTCGCTTTATCAGGATTATCTTGGATTTGCATGTCCTCCAGGAAGAAGTCCAACATTAAATTGTCCTTGTTTGCTAAATAAACGATTACGAATATTGATTAGTAAAGAACCATTTAACACTTGATAATAGCCCGCAGAGTTTACAGTATATTTTTATATTTTAAAAATTTTCTAATAATAATAATACTTTAATATAATCATTAAAAGTTATTTATTTTTTTATTATGTATATTAAAGTTTTCTGTGAGATGACTGTTAATAGTAATTAATGCTCCCTTATTTATCAGCTGTGAAATAAATGTGAAGTCCAATATTACCTGGATTACACGCGTAGTCCGTAAAATCATTAACGCCCTCGTTCTTTAATATATTTTCATCAATCAGAAATTGTCCAGTAACGGATCTGCTATCTTTACAAAGCAATGCATAAACAGCATCGCCCATAATTTCAGGCTTCCGACACATATTACTTGAGTCTGAGCCTGACAACATATCCATTGCAGCGGTATGTATAGCTAAAAACAAAATAATTTGTATATAATACATTTTTCATTAATTATATAATATTGCCCAACCTACATGCAATATTTGCAATTTACAAGCTGCCCAAGTAAGGAAAAAAAATTTATTTTACTTAAGCGTATTTTTATCGTTATATTTTCTATACTTAGAATAAGCAATATTAACAGAGAAATTGCAATATTTTTTATCATAATTTTTAATCATATTTTTTTAATCATAAACGTAATTATTTTCTTACATCTAGTAAAATAAAGTATGACAATAATATACCTGTCTTAGGCCAAATAGCGTTAACCGCAATGCCGTCAGGCTTAAATTCTTCCGCCATACCAAGAACACACATAGACATTCCGTACTTGGCCATAGTGTATGCGACATGATTTTTAAACCAAATCGGTTTCATGCTCAACGGCGGACTTATGTTAACTATATGTGGATTCGTGCTTTTCTTCAGATACGGTATGCAAACTTTCGATCTGCAATACAATTTTACTGTTCGGTAACTTGCAACGCGAACTCTTGAGAATGCGTGATAATTTAAAAAAATTTTCCAGTTGTTACACATTGGAATTAATTTAATACTAAACATTAAACCACTAAAAACTTGCAGGCGTTGCAAAAAATACAATAAAAAAACTTACACGAGAAAAGTTCCTCTGGCATTAATATTATTCATTAGATCGTATCTCTTCATTTCGGTTTCAACAGTGCCCGTCAATGAAATAGCGCTCGCATTGTTCACGACCACGTCTATACCACCGAATTTGGCGACGGCATTCTGCACCGCGTTAATCACCTGCTGCTCATCGCGTACGTCCACGATGCAAGGTAGAGCTTTACCACCGGCTGCTTCGACTGAAAAATATATTTTCTACATAGATCTCTAAATTTGAAAAGCTTTTCAATGACGGATCTAATCAAATGGTGTAGTCGGAAGATTAACTTAGTTAAATTTATTGTTTAATTGGCTTAATTAAATAATATTAATTAAACTAAATCAAAATGAAAATTATATCGGGCTAAAATATGCTGCATAAAATATCAATATTCTGTCTCTATTTGTGTTAGACACCATCAAAATTAATATATATAATTTCATTAGTTTTAATACTATAAAAATAATTTTAAAGAGACACTGAATCTTTTTCTTGTTAATTTGTAAAGCACTAACTATTGAACATGCATGGACAACACACATATCATTGTGTAAGATTTATACCAAAAATCCAAATCTATTGCAAAGTTAATCTGATAATTACTTTCAGTAGCCGCCGTATAAATGGTACCCGGTAGTTTCGGATGTGGCTCGGCAGTTTTTGCAGCGATAACGATATTCGCACCATCTTTCGCCGCTTTCAGAGCTATAGATTTCCCAATACCTCTCGAAGCTCCCGTAATGAAAATAGTGCGACCAGCTAACTTCCTGTCAAATATTGGTGATAATCAGTATGTGATTTTCTTAAATGTAACGATGATACACAATTTTTACAATAACGTTGCTGTTTATTTAGACCTATTACTAAATACTATCATTCAGCAATTATTATTATATTGTTTGTAAAGCATATACAAAAATAACATACTGTAATAATTTATTGCATCTAAATCTTAATCTTTGTAAAGTAAAAGTAAATGTAAAGTAATAATTTAATGTATGCGTCATGCACATCAATTATAAATGGGTCTAAAAAAAGGTTTTCAAACAATCGTTTGATTTCTATATGCAAGAATCCGCAAGTTTTCTAAAATTATTATTATTTAAGAAAAATTATTAAAAAGGAGAAATTAACGTTTTCCTGAAAATCCATAATAAACGTGATCTATAGTTTTCTCGTACCAGAAGTGTAGATCGGAATACGGATACAAAATTTTACACTGTCATTGAATGTCAAGGATACAAATTCGCTGAATCATACAGGAGTACGAAATTCAAGAGTTTGAAGCCATGAGACAACGCTTACCCCGTGTTAATCATTTTTCCGCCCTTTTTCCGCAATATGCCAGCTCGTAATAGAGTGTGAACCTCGCCCGCTGATACGTGGCAGTGACCGAAAATCGGATCCACCGATCGGTCAACGTCAATTACAAACCGCGGAACTGGGAGAAGTGTCGTAAATATTTGCGTTGCCGCTTCGAGTTTTCAGCCTCCACTCGGCGGGTTCAAAGTACATCACATATCTTTAGATAAATTGCCTCCAAGTGCAGCCTGGTGCAGTTCTTTATAAATAATTAACAGTCATATATAACAATCGCAAGAAACTCTTGATGTTTTCTGTAAGAGAGATATATTTCAATACTCCGGTCTCCGATGTCTCCGATACGACATCTGCATCAATTTCGGAAATGAAAATGTCTCACTCTCGAAAATCGCGCGTCGGTAAATTATCACGTATCGTGTACGATATTATTTATCTATGCGTGATAAACTAGTGATTGGTTTTACGATTATCGAAAGCAGAAATTCCACTCTGAATATATAGTATATACATATATATTAGAATTTTATGAAAGTGGTAATATATATATTAATATATATATTACACAAACGCACACACACACACACACCACGCACGCACGCGCGCGCGCGCGACACTTTTGACTTATTTTCATAACTGTAAATAGAAATTTTCATTCTTTTGAATTTATCGGAAGATTGCACTTTCTGTACCGAATTTATTTTAAAGCTTAATTCACCTTGAGCAGCATTGTTTAATTTTATAATATAAATGTAGAGCAATTGAGAAAAAGATCAGTTAAAATATACATACAATAAAAAAACAAATGTACAAGTTACTACATAATATACATAAAATCCTTATATATTTCTTAGATTTTAGGAAATATAGGACATCTCACGAATAGAATTCGTTTGCTTGAAAATCTACTTTTTCACGGATCTCTAATAGTTTCAATGCATAAATCACCAGAAAGCCATAAAATTCGCATACATTTTTTTTTTTACATATCACATATTTATTATATATTATCAGGATAATTAAGGATATATTTCAATCATCTGAATCAATATATATTTCTGGCAAACGACGAGTGTTATTAGTTCTTACGTAACACGTTCTGTATCGCATCTTTTGCTTTTTGAACACCAAGGCGAAACTCGCCGAATTCCGGACGAATCCTCATCCCACGGTAATAATACACCAAGCTCATTTCGAAGTCGCCGAGATGATAGAGAGCCTCCGCCTTGCAGTACACCGCTTTGGACTTACTCGAGTCCTTAGGATTTAATTGTAACGCCGCTTCCGCGTCGTCCAGGGCCTTTTGCGGATCGCCCAGTAAAAGATGACATTTGCTCCGCGCTATCAAGGCATTCTTGTCACTCGGGTTCAACTCCAGTGCCTGCCAAAGAATAAATTCTTATAACATATAATAATAAATAACATATTCATTGAAATGATTGAAACATTGATAGAATTTATAGAACACAGAGATTAGAGATTATTATATGCAGTAATTCAAAATTAAAAATCCCTTTTTATATATTCTTAAATGTACCAATTCTGAACTTTTTTTTTTAATTTTGTTACTTTTGATCTCTTTGAAATGTTCTAAATATTTGTAATTTATACAAAAATATAAAAATGTAAATTTTGTCATGTCACGTCTCAAATATAAATTATATGTAAACATATATTATTGTCATTTATAATTTATAGCCGCCATTTATCGTATTGTAACAATCTTTTCGTCATATTGCAATGCTACAACTATAACACAGCAGAAAATTTTTATTTTTGCTTTATGAACAAGCTGATAGAGCCTTTATGAGAAAACATATGGATATTTTATAAATTCTGATTGTAAAACCTTCTTGGTTCAGTATATCTGATATTTTCTTTTATATATCAAACGTATAGATATCAATTTTAAAAATTAACAAATCGATAATATATTATATAGTGCTTTGAGAAACTTAAAATCCTTAAACGCTACTTCTCTCGAAATTGATAACGACAACAATCTTCGCAATTACTACGTTCATTTCTACGACATATAAATCGATTCGGCTGTTCGCTTATTACGGCGGGTCACGTTTATTCATGCGCGCATGCACGGCGCCGTCCACGGAACGCATAAATCCACTCCCATCGGTTGGTGTCCGCGAAGAATCAACGAGACCGTAATGTACAGCGAGGCGACCAATAAAGAAGAAACCTTATTGATGCAGTTAATAGCGACATTAACGTCGCCGAAGCGCATCTCGCGCAGGCCGAGCGTCAGCAGTGCCCCGGGCTCGGTCTCCTCTGGGATCTGCAGGTTCTTGCTGCGATCCTGCCGTTGCTTCATCTTCAGGGACTGCTTTATGTCCGTGGTGCCCATGTTCACGGCGGCCGCGCGATCCTTGTCGGTGTACACCTCCTCCTGCCGATGCACCTCGCCGTCGTGCTGGCGTCACTTTCTCCTCGTCTTCTGTATCCTCGACATCTCCGACTCGATGGCGGGGTCGGACCACTCCTTCCTGTCGCCGCTCTTCTTCCCCTTGTAGCCGTGCCGAGCGTTGCCGCTGCTCCCTGATGCCGTTGGACGCTTACCCGAATGCCCTCTGTCCTTGCACGGCTCCTCGAACTCCTCGGCGGGGTCCTGCTTCGCGTCGGGACCGACCTCCGCACGTGTTCGCACGTAGCTCTGCAGCAGGTCGTGGTGGTGCAGGCCAGGATTCAGGATCTCCATGACGTGATGCTCGACGGACGCGCTCGCGGACGTCGCGTCCTCGACGACGATTTGCGGTGCTTCGCTCATCCTCACTCTCGCCGATTTTTAACACTATTTTATCCGATACTGTATTACAATATTGAGAAGAATTTACAAGCTATTTTCGCGAGATATTCTCGTTCCTTCCTTCGTTGCGTTTCTACTTGGCGCGTAAGCGTAAGCGCAAAGAGATCGAGGAATCCTCGCGAGCGGATGATCCTTGCCTACGTGCCAAGTTACGTGTGGTTGCCGACACCTCGAATTAGGTGGCTCGTTTCCTTAGAAACGAGTAACAACGCCGGTACAAGTCAAATGATAAATAAGTACCTACCCTCGCGAGATTTCGAAATGTTGAAAGGAACAAGAACACTCTACATGTTGCGTATACAGAACGTTCTGATAGATCGCCAAGGTTTGACAGTGTATTTTTTACTCATCTTAAAGCTAAAAGAAAAGATCGTACAATCGTAGGATTTTTCTTCAAAATAAACGCGCCCTTTATAAGCATTTTAATCTGCCACAAAGTTTCGCAAATACATCTAAATTCTAAAACATCTATACATCTATACATTCATACAGATTTAAATTCTTAAAGCAGATATTGCTCTTGCATCTGTTTTGAAGAAATTATCCCACAAGGTTGCGTATCTCACATCGTCGTTTTGTGTCCATTTTTTGTCAATGTAATTTAATCTCGACTTAATTCACGCTTTATCTTTCTCTAATTTTTAGAATTAGAAACAAAAAATAAAAGTAAGTTATATACCGAGGAATTAAAATTAATCTACATTGATAGAAATGGACATTATAAAACTAAGTATACATCAATAATTTAATTATTCTTATATTTCTTAATAATTAAATGTAATTCTTTTCGCTTTTACATTGATCGTCGCAGGACAATATTCAACTCATTAAAACGTAACATAAAAAAAATGAATAATAATAATCTATACGTTCGAGTATAAAAATAATTTTCTCTCCAACACACTACATTCTTGATATTTCTTGTGTATTTTTTAAGAATTATATAAAAATTCTTTTAAATTTGAATGTTTAATAATGAGCTCTTAGGTCATTATTATCAATTTTTCTTAGTAATAAAATAAAACTTACTTGATTGTACAGAAATATGGCTTTATTGTAGCTTCCATTTTTCACGTGAACGGTTGCTTCATTTACTAAAAGCGTGTTTCGTATAACAAGAGAACTCCGCCTTGCTGCTGATTGTCCTTTTTTATGATGTACCATATCGTCTACGGTAAGAAATTAAAATTTCAGTGTTAATTTTAGGAATCATTCAGTCGATATAAATTTTTAAGCAAAATTCTAAGATTTAAAAAACATCGTTTATAGAATGACAAAATCACTTTCTAAAAATCAGTTTTAGAATCGAAATTAGAAACAAAGCAGTCGACATTAAATTAATATTAAATCATAAATTAAGCAAAATCGCCTCAGAAAGAATTCAGAGATTTTAAATTCAATGAAAAATTTGCAAAACTAAAAATATAATAAAAATAATAGTTTTACTGAATGCAATTGGTCAACAGTAATTAACAAAATAATTGTACGTATAGAACGGATAGAAATAGATTGCCAGTTTTAATTAACACTTCAATGAGAAACGTAAATACAATAAACATACTCACTGCGATGTTATTTATACATAGTTGAAAATTACGAAGAGATATTCGATTAACAGCAACTATTTCATTTCTTTTTTGCTTTTAATTAATTTAACACAGATAATATCGCAATATGCAGAGAAGCATATCGGTTGGCCGCTACATCGCGACAACGTGCAGAACCGTTTCAATCGAATAGCTGCCTCTCTAGCGTCTTAAATTCATAACTTACAACCGAAACTTTTCCATCTATACTTTTTACGCTGCGTCTCCCTACCCGCGATATAAAGAAATAATCGATAACGAAGTCAGAGAAAGGGATAATAAGAGAAGACTGAAACTAGACGACAATTCTTATTCTTTACCCACCACCACACGCTGCATCTCTGATTGCTAACGGAAAAGCCATTAAATGGCTCGCATGCTTTCGTGAATGCTTCCTATCAATCCATTCGCTATCGTCCTTGTCCGATTATTTGTGTCATTTAGCGGAAGAAACGCACGCGATCTGCATACTGAACGATTATCCTTCGTATTACCTTCCCGCTAGTTCTGAAAAAATAATCAACAATTCGTGGACAATCGTACGCCTGTGAATTTTGTAGCAGCTCTTTAGATTCATCTCGTAATTTACAGCGTGTAATAACACAGATATGGAAAATTGTATATTAAAGACGCAAAACTTTTCGCAAGTATAAATAAAATCTCATTCTCCAAATCACAAGAATTTTATTAAACTCACGTCAATTTCAATTATTATAAAACGTTTTTATGCATAAATTTTTGTTTTATTATATTCAATATTTTTGTTAAAATAATCTACATTTTTTTATTTATAGAAAATTGATTGAATTTTATAAGCAAATGTTACACATTACAATTTTTTAAAATCTAATAATACAAAGATTTATAGAAAATTGGGCAGCAACGCGTGACACAATTCTTGTTAAAAGGAATGTTTCAATATGTTCGAAGAACGAAAAGTTTAGCTAATATATTTACTATAATTACTTATCGCGTGCCGCGCAGACATACGATATAAGCGGCAAAATTGCGAAGGAAGAAAATACCGTTTAGAATGATTAAAATTTTAAATGGAGAGTCCCCTACATCTATCACGCAATCTTTCAGTAATAAAATCATTGACATAATCAATTTAACTATTCAAAATTCCTCTGTTCTAAATATTCTATTTTTTAATTAACTATTTTTTTTTCTCGACGTTCTCTTATGCTGTTCACATTATGTGACAGACACGAAATTTGTAACACCTGTTCTTGGACAAATTTCAGAATATTGCAAAAAAGCGTATGACTTATTGCTTTCCAAAAATTTATCGAAGAAAAGGTGTTGCAAAATTTTGTGCAAAATTATAAATGTTTCTTCAAAAAGTGCTTAATTAGAGAAGCTAAAGATACTAGGATATTTTTCTACTTTATATGAAAGATGTAGATAGGAACGATAAATTAACATATTTCATTTTTATGCTGCTGTAATAATTTCTTTTGCTATTAATAAATACTTAGACATAAATGTAGCAGAAAATACAATCTTACATCAACGTACATCTCATTTGCATTGATATGATCTCACACTAGGTTATCACATTCAGATTCAATTGTAACATGCAACAGACTCCCCTTGTAAAGCGGTATATCTAGGTGCTGTCGTAACATTAGGTTTTAATCGGCGAAATAATAAAATGTGTGGCTCTGAAAAATAAAGATTTTAATTATAATTCATGTATACACAATACTTTTCTGTTAGATCTATTTGTCAAGTTATACCTGGTCCGTGCATCATATAATGAACCCATCCAGGACTTTGCTGAACTCCCAAATTTCTCCATTCAGTTTCTGTCATGAGATGAGTCTTTGGAACATGCCTGGCTAGATCAACAGGCAGTATTACATGCCTGTAAATAATTTGATTAATTTTGTGACTTAATTTATTCTAGATTTAATGATATTAATGTGTGTTTTATTATATTATATATATTCTTGAATCTAAAATTTAAAATCTAAAGTTTTTAAGTATCTATTTATATATTTTTAATTTTATATATATTTTATATATTTAAAATTACATAATTTCTTAATTGTATAAATTACATTACATATATATTTTTTGATTTTTAATTTTTATTTAATTCTCTATGTATTCACATATTAATTTTAAAAAACTGGTATATTTTTAAAGGTTGAATTTAACTGATTGTTACAAGATATATATTTTGCACAAATGATATGGCCTCTTATTTAAATTATAAAAAAGAGGTAATTGTAATAAAGATTAATAATATTTAAATAATAGTGAAAATAATCTTCGCAATTTATTATTTATTAGTTGTATATATATTATATGCATGTTCTAAACTTACCTGTATTCATGTGTGTCATCATTGTACTTTTCAGAATATTGAATTTGATCTACCGGCATTTTACTTGGAATTAAAATGTGTCAAAAGTTAAACAATCTAAAAATAAAATAAAATAAAAGTGATGTCAACTAACCTTAAAATAAAAAAAAAAACTTTTTTAACCTAAAAGCCTTTACATATTATACTACATTGCTTTGTAATGAATGTCTTAATTGTTTGATATAATTGAAGAAAATTCTATTCTAAAAAATGATTTATAATTCTTATAATTTGGTTTAATAAGAATTAATCTAAAAAAATTATTGATAAAGGTTTCTATGATATTAAAATTTTTATAGCAGTGTTAAATGTTAATTAATGGTTTTTCACCTAATTAAAGAAGCAAAGATTCTAATAATGTAACGAAAGTGAAAATGTGAGATAAAGTTAACAAGTAAGTTTATATTCAGATAATATAAAAAAGTATAAATATAGGACATAAATATAATTTTTCATAAAAAAAAATCGTGTATCTCGTCGTTGATGACTTCGCGATAAGTTCGCTTCAAGTTCGTTTTAATGGATCATAAATTTATTTTGCCTCAGAAAGACGAAAAAATTCTATAACTCGAAAAACTGTAACACTATTACGTGAAAATTTTCAATATATTTATATTAAATTCACGTAAAATAAATTGGCTTTTCAGTAAACAGTATCGAGTTACAATTACGCGCGCGCGCTTCTTCAGTCGGTCAGATAGATCTTCTAACCTCTAAAAACAACATCTTTGAACGAAACTCTCGCTTAATAATTCGCGATATACGGCAAGATTGACTCGAACTGACGACAAGAAAAAATACAATTTTAATTTATTACTATTGATTACTTCCATATTGTGTGCAATGTACCTGGTTTCTTCTCTTAAATTGATATTTAGCCTCATAACATACCTGTTGCACTTGAACACTTGAACGTGACGTATTTCGACTTATTTCAGAACACCGGTACTTGAGTCATGGGCGTATGAATATATCTAGACGCCTGCCTGTGCCTGCGACCGCCATGTTGTTTGCGTCACGTTCATTCGGCCAGAGAGAATTCGAGAGCGGACAAGCGGTATGTATACGGCATAGGCTGCGTTCCCACTGAGCGCGTCACGTGCGCGTCATCCGAATTGACCAATCAAAACATCCCATTTTATTGCGTAACTTGCCGTGCAATCCGAGATTTCATACCAAGAAAAATTCGTTTGTCTCTAGAACTGTCTCTTATCTAATTGATGCGTCTTGCAAGAAGTTGCGCGGCAAATCATGCAATAAAATGGAATATTTTGGTCAATTAATCGTGACGCGACGGACGACGCGACGCGTGACGCGCTCAGTGGGAACGCAGCCTCACGCTCGCTCAGCTCGCTGCGCGCCTGCGCGGCCGCCATCTTGCCCACCGCCGTGTGCCGGCGCAGTCCAGTCTGGCGTCGGAGGGGAGTGGAGTGGCGCGAAGTCGCCATCTTGTTCGCGTACCATCTCTACCATCATCGTCCCGTACGAGTCTCCGAACGCGCGATCGCGAGCGTCGGGAGTGTGCCGAGTGAAGTGCCGCGCGTTCGCGTGCGAGGATATGAACGAGGTGTGAGCTACTTGTGGACCGGTACGAGTCGCGGTGTGCGAGGATCTTGGATCGAGCGGAAAGGAGCAACCGGCGCGGCGGCGGCGGCGGCGGCGAGACATGGACGGCGTACGGTGAGTCGCGATTCCTTCGTATTCTATTCATTCATTCATTCGTTCGCGTCGCGGTGATTCAGCATCCGCGCTTCGTCCCGATCGCGCTCGGAATTATCGTTGCGGACGGATACTCGTCGTGACGCATCATCCGCGCGCGAGAATGGTGGGCTACGAACGATTTGAAGTTTGCTTCGCGTACCCGCGGCGTCGCGGCTCTTCCAGGCGTGCCAACTGTCGGGCGACGATCCTTTCCGCACTATAACCTCAATTCCCAAGCGCAACTTTCGATCGCGGATTCTGCCTCTCCCCTCCGCGCGCGCTTTTTTCCGCTCCAATGTGAATTCCTCCTGACGCGGTTTGTGTTTCTATATGTTTCTAGTGCTCCCGGTCTAACCTGGCTGCGTCCGTGTTTAGGTTAAACGTACGCGTTAATGCAGTTCATCTTTAACGACACGATAATGCTGTGACCGTAATTGGAAATTTCCCAATACTGTTCATCGTCAAGCGAATTCCGCACGAAAGATGGGTGTACCAGCATTTTTCCGTTGGCTGAGCCGCAAGTATCCCTCCGTAATCGTCGAGTGCATCGAGCAGAAGGTAGGTTAGATTTCCCAAGGTTTTCTCTGCCCTTTTACACATTTATATGTAAATTAGCCACATCCACATCTCGCTTTCCGAGATTTTATACTTTCGATAAATTGCTGCGTTTATAGATTACGCGAATTTTTTTTTAATTATGTAAATATGAACGTGTGAAAATCTCTTAATTAATTCTTGTATTTTAACCTCATGGTTAATTTTTTATCTTTCTAGAATGATTATTAATCTTTTGCTTGTTTCTGTTTGTAAAATTTAGTTCGTAAAATCTATGAAATCAAAATTTTTTTAGTAAATTTTGTATATTCGAATAATTTTCTCTTTTTTACTTTAAATATTTAAGATCCTGAATTAGTGTAAGAATAAAGATTTTCTCTCTTTTATTGCTAAAGATTGTGTTATATAACTGTAGAGATTTATCTCTATTTCTTAGAAAGGATTTTTTAGAATTAAAAGACTTGTATAAAATGTGCCTTGTTTTGAACTTGACATTATTTAAATTTAATTATAATGTAAAATATGTGATTGACATTATGTTAATTAAATTTAATTAGAATACATACATACATAATATGTAGTACTTAATCAAAAGAATAAGCAGTCTTGCAAGTGGTTGACCCAGATAAAAAAATGGTTATAGCCTGAGTAAAATAATTTTTTTGATTGATAGTCGTATGAATTTTTCACGTGTAAAATGAGTTGATTTTGTTGCCAAAGTTTTACTACTTCAGTAATATTCTAACCCGACAGTACATGAGATTAAAATTTTGATGCTTTGTGTTCCTAGTCGATATCTTCAGACGGAGTATGCATTCCTGTGAATTCAGCAGATCCAAATCCAAATGGGATAGAATTTGATAATTTGTATCTTGATATGAATGGTATAATTCACCCCTGTACGCATCCTGAGGACAAGTGAGTATAAGATGTGAGCGAATGATTCATGAATGTCTGTAATGAATTGTGTATGTGATCTTGCGCTTGTATGAAATACAGACCAGCTCCCAAGGATGAAGACGAGATGATGGAGGCTATTTTCGAGTGTATCGACAGATTATTTCGCATCGTCAGACCAAGGAAGTTGCTTTACATGGCGATTGACGGAGTCGTAAGTATTTTTACATATGAGATACACAGCAAGGAAAACTGATGCGATTATAATGTGTGAATGTATTGTTGCGCAGGCGCCCAGAGCTAAAATGAATCAACAAAGATCTCGTCGATTCCGTGCATCAAAGGAAACGACAGAAAAGATTAATGAAATTGAGAGGATACGTTCCGAATTGAGCCAGAAAGGGGCATCCTTGCCTCCCGAAAAACCGAAGGAGGCGCATTTCGACAGCAATTGTATTACACCGGTTTGTATGACCATAAAATACAATAAATCAATAAATAGAATATAAAATGTATATACATATATAAATATTTAAATTATTACAATTTTATGTTTTTAAATTGATTATTAACATCCATTTAATAAGATAAAACATAATATGCTTAAGATCTGAAACATATTTATACTTTTTTCGACAAATAAAAATGACAAATTTTATTATTAGTGATTAATTTTTAAAAATTGATCGATTTAAGCATTGTAAAGTTACATAATGTATATATTAAAAACTTCTTGTTCCAGGGCACTCCGTTTATGTCAAGATTATCGGCGTGCTTGCATTACTACATCCATGATCGTTTGAATACTGACCCAGGTTGGAGGAATATTAAAGTGATTTTAAGCGATGCTAATGTACCCGGTGAAGGGGAGCACAAAATAATGGATTTTATACGACGACAAAGAGGTAAGCTTGTGCATTTTATATGTATAAATTATAGTGCTTCACTGGAAGTAAGAAATTGACTTTTTTTTTGTATTACAGCGCAACCTGATCACGATCCTAACACGCAACACGTTTTATGCGGAGCGGATGCCGATTTGATTATGTTAGGTCTCGCTACGCATGAGCCTAATTTTACTATTATTCGCGAAGAATTTAAACCGAATAAGCCAAAACCGTGCGATATATGTGGCCAGTTAGGACATGAAATGCGTGAGTGCACGGGCGCGGAACCGAACCAGGTGCCAGAGGAGAATACATTCGGATCCGAATGCCAGTTCATATTCGTGCGATTAAATGTTCTCAGAGAATATTTAGAAAGAGAATTGTCTATGCCGAATCTACCATTCAAATACGATTTTGAGCGAGCTGTCGATGATTGGGTGTTTATGTGTTTCTTCGTAGGAAACGACTTTTTACCTCATCTACCTTCTCTGGAGATTAGAGAAGGCGCAATTGACAGACTTGTTGCTTTGTACAAGAAAGCAGTATATAAAACAGGAGTATGTAATATTTCTTACAAAACTAGATGATAAAAAATTAAAAATCTTATTGATTCTGATTAACAAAATTGTACTCTTTTTTAATATATTTTATATAGTTGTGAAATATTGTTTAAACAGAGTTAAAATATATTTTGTAGATTTTTTATTTGTTTTATATATAACAATTTATACTAAGTTTTCTCTGTTCTCAATTATTTTTGGCTCATAAAAAAGAAATTTTAATTAGAAATCTTTCCATCTACTTGTGTATATATACAACATAAAAATTCATAATTGATGTTTTATTTCATTTTTATGTTTACCTTAAAATTCTATAAATTTATGAAAATATCTATTACATATTAATATAAAAAATTAAAGGTTTTTTTTTCAGAAAGTAATTTTTCTTTTAATTATTTGCAGGGTTTCTTGACAGATAGCGGCGACGTCAATTTAGATCGCGTACAATTGATAATGTCAGATCTTGGTGATGTAGAAGATGAGATCTTTAAGAAGAGGCAACAAAATGAATTGGCTTTTAAACAACGTGAGAAAGACAAAAAGAAAAGGAACGAGATTATCAGCAGTTTTAAGCCAACGTGGATTCCTGCGGGTCAATTTGCACCAACTGTAAGCTCACAATTTTATTACGCATTCTATATTTATAAGGAAATCTAAACTAAACTTCATTTGAATGTTGTTGAGAAAAGATTTGTTAATAATTTAATTTAATAATTAAATTGTTAATAATTAAATTTGTAATCTCTTCTGCTTGATATATCGTGCGATTTTCAAAATATGTATTATAATAATCTTCTCAGGCTCCTGGACAACCTGTAAAACCTATTGAGAATGCACGTTATGAAGCTTATAAAATGCGTGTACAGGGTAGGAATTATAATACGAATGCTGCTGAAAATTCCAACGCTAATCACGCTTTAGAAAGCATGATGAGACCTGAGGTATTCAATTTTGTTTCCTTTAGCAATGAATATTACACATTCTTAAATACTCGCAGCCAGTATTTAATACATGGCACATTTATTAATATGTATATACTACTTGTAACTTATTTCGTGTTCTTAATTTTGTCACTAGAATACGGGCAATAAAGGACAGAAACGTAAAATTGATGAAGTTACTGACACGGAGGATGATGATCAGGCGCACGACGAGGTGCGACTTTGGGAGGACGGTTTTAAAGATCGATACTACGAATCTAAATTCGACGTGTCTCCCGATAATCTCGCATTTAGGTAAATAACAAGTGAAGATAGAACAATTTTTTTTACGTAAACGATTTTTTAAAATTTCTAATAATTGAAATTTATTTTGTGAAAATTTTGTATACGTTATCACATATTAATGCTGGCTCTACTTGTCTGTTTGTAGAAATAACGTTGCTCTACAATACGTACGTGGTTTATGTTGGGTCTTGCGATATTATTATCAAGGCTGCGCGTCGTGGCGATGGTATTTTCCGTATCACTACGCGCCATTTGCAAGCGACTTTATTAACATCGGCGGTCTTTCGACAGAATTTGAGAAGGACACTGTACCAGTAAGTATTACATTATTCTGTGTAAAGTGTGTAAACGTTTTTTCTAAATGCATCATTATTTAATGTTGTTTCGTTACAGTTTCGTCCGTTGGAACAATTGATGGGTGTATTTCCTGCTGCTAGCAGAAAACATGTACCTGAGCCGTGGGCGAAGTTAATGATGGATCCAGTACGTATATATTTTTATCACGAAAATCACATTAGAAAAAAGGAAGAAAAATTTATTTTATAATTGAATTGAAACAATGATGACAAATTGTTATTGATGAGAGCTTTAGTTTGCTTATCCCGGAGAAATAAAAGAACTTTATCTTCCTCTTCAATAATCTTGAACTTTTACAATGAGAGCACACGCAATACACAACACGATACATTGTTCGGGAAAATTCACTTTAGCTTAAAGTTATTGTGTTCTTCGGATCTTTTATTTTTCTCTTTAATGCTTATCTCAAACGATATTAGAAATTATGATATTTTTGATAAATAAAAAGAGCAGAAAGACAGAGAGGAAGATATATATGACTAAAATGTTAAATCATTATTACATAGTTGAATTTTTAGAACCTAATGTTTTTAGTAGATTTACTTTTAGTGTAGAATTATTTCTTTTGCAATATATTATTTTTATCTAGTACCTTATTTATTTACAGAATTCTCAGATTATTGACTTTTATCCAGAAGATTTTAAAATCGACTTGAACGGGAAGAAGTTTGCTTGGCAAGGCGTAGCTTTGCTTCCGTTTGTAGATGAGAAGAGATTATTCAAGGCTTTGGCGCCGTACTACGAGTGTTTGACGGAAGCGGAAAGTAAGTGATACACACGTTTTTTTTATTAAGAACGATTATCATGCAAATTTGTACGACTGCCAATACTTGGATGATTAGCTCGCGAGATGTAATATTAATTTTGACGCGATAATATATGTGATATATGAATTTAAAATAATATGATTATAAAATATTATTTAAAATTACATTTCTATAATTATCTTTTTTTGAGTATTCATGTAAGTAATAACTAATGGCAAAAGATCAGTTTTGCAACAATATGTATTATTGTGCCACTAAATGTTAGTTACAATTAAAAAAACGTTTACATATTTATTTTATTTAGATATATTTCAGATATTTACATATCGATTCAGACATACTTTAGATATTTATATCTGAAAATTTACCAATAAAGATCTCCGAATTCCCGTTAATCGCGAAAATCGAGTATTTCAATTACATCTCACCGGTGATAAAGTAACGCGAATTAAACCTAGTTCAAATTTCGTGCTCTCTTGAGATAGGCTGCAAACTCGAATTTTAACAGTTCACAATATCAAGAGAACGCAAAATTTGAATCACGTGATCACGTTGCGATACGTTTCCCCGAATAATTTCAGCGAGATTAGTTTAATCTTTTTGGGAAAAGAATTGCCCCTATTTATTCGGATATTTTTGAGTTAAAAGCCAAAGTTGAGTTAAAGTCGTGGTGTGCGGAATAAAAATAACAGTAATATGTACATATTAATTGAGTATTATGTTCTTAGTTTTACTTCATGTTGCGTTTCCATTTTTAGAAAAGAGAAACGTTCGCGGTGACGACAGGCTGTACGTCGGAATAGAGAATAAAGGTTACGACTTTGTAAAAGGCTTATACACGAATCGCATAGGGTTCGATAAGGAGGTCGAGATAAGTGTAGACGGCATGCGAGGTACTGTGTGCCTATCGGAAGACTGTGTGAGTGACGGAGGCACATTACCTTCACCCGTGAGAGGTTTACCGGTTAGGAACAACAAAGTGTACTGGTTCGTATACATTCGCAAATCTTAAAGCAAACTAATCTGATTAGTCAATCAGTCAAGAAATAAAATGCGCCTTTGAAGCGAACGCGATTGTTGACGCGTAAATTTATGTCTATTTATTTAAGAAATTAAACGTTTATTAATTGATTTATTATCTTAGAGCTTAATTTATTTATTTTTATCTTAACCTACTATTATTCATTGACTATGAAAGATAGAAGATAGTCTAGATGTATCTTTTCCTCGGCTTGCAGTATCAAGTACAAGGATCCCAAGTACGGTAGCAACTACGTGTTCCTAGCTCGCAAGCTGAAGGGGGCCAACGAACCGCCGCGCGTCCTGAAGCCGCAAGACTTCGAAGCTATGAATCGCAAGAACGGGAGCCAATGGGTTCCGCAAATCGGTTTCACAAGCCGGACTTCGCGGTCAGCTTCGCTGGGACAAGCAGGCCATAGAATGCTCGAGTAAGTATTAACTGCTGCGATTGGCTATGTATTTTTACCGATAAAATATATCTTGCTATGATTAAATTCTTCCCTCCCTTTTTCGCTTTTCTTTTATTGTTTTGAACAACGCACAGAAGATGCACGATATTTGCGATAATAATGTTTGACCGTTGTGACTACAGAACAATTCGCAATTATAGAAATTATAAAAACGGTAACACAAATTTCTGAATAATTTAATTTAAATACTTAATTTCAATCTGAG